CACAGTGATAAAACCCAGCCTATTCACCCAAGAATGACCTGGGACACACAGGAGCTCCAAAGGCTGAGGCTCGTCCGGCGGTATGTGTTTGCTTGTCAAAATGGGGGGCAGGGAGGAAAGCAGGCAGAGCACTGGGCAGACCCTGCTCTCCCCTGCAGAGATACACTCAAGTCTCAGGAGAAAAACAGCCCAGCCTCCAAGGGGGGACGTTCACACAAAGGAATGTGATGGGGAAGAGAGAACAGGACGGATGTGCTTGAGCAGGCGCAGATGTGCCCAGGACCTTTGCACTGTTCTGCAGGAGGAAATTGTTACCTGGGCTTGAGCACGGACAAATCATGGAGACTATTTTAATTTGTGCATTCATGCATGTGCAAACTCCTTCCCCTCCTCTTTACAATGACACATCCTTTCCTAGAACAACTAGATTCCCAGAAGGAAAGCGAGCATAGACAACCTGGTAATGGAGCCCTAAACCCACCTCCACCTCACAGCTGGGCAGAACAACTCTTCCTGCTTCTTTCCTGTGCTGCACCTACAGATCAGACTCCTACAAATCTTTGCACCTACAGATCTTCACCATGAGTGGCAAGAGCTGCCCAATCACTTCCATCTTCCTCTACAACCTCAGCGACTACCCTTCCTATTCTCTGTATGTGGATGAATGAGGTATTGCACGGTACTGGCAATGCCATCCTAGGCCAATGCACCAACCTGAGTCAGTCCACCCCACAATCGCCTTAAGATACAGTACCTTAATGCAGACTTCTCAGCTACAAGCCACAGATCATCCACAGCTACTGCAGTCAAAGTGGAGAACAGGTGCTCCCCCATGCAGAGCCAGCAGCCATGGAAACCACCAGGGAGTGAGGGCAAGGAGAGAGTAGGAGAAACTATTGTTCCCCTTCAGCTAGAGGCTGGAATCCTTTTCCAACCTTACACTTGCTGATCACCAAAACATGCTGTGGAGCACCCTCACACTAAGATCCCTTCTGGGACAACTGAATGGGAGGCCCAGCTGTGCTTCTTTTCAAGGTTTTGGGCTCTAGCACTTCCATTACAGGCTTCATTTGCAGCAGGACTTAAAGCAAAGCACAGCGCTGTCCCTGGCTGTGAACATCCATTAGAAGAGGTAGCATAAAGCTCTGAAGGTGCTTCAAAGCACAGCCACAGCTTCTGGGAAACCTTTTAGTCCCTGCAGAGACATCTGGAGCATGTCCTCAATAAGCCAGTTTCCTTTATGTGCTGCACCAACTTTAGAAACAGTTCTTCCCAGGGGACACAAGAGCATGTGAAGATGAAGCTGCTCTAGGCAAGAAAACAGTGGCTCCTTCCTCCCTATGGCCTTCACAGGGGATGCTGGGGGCACCAAAGACAAAGCTTGTTCTTCATCCTGAAGATTACTAATGCCTCCAATTTGAAAATCATCACCCTCTTACCTGGCACCCTGGTGGAGCCAGGCTTTCAACTAGTATAGTCCCTCTGCTTTCGGGTGATACTCCGTGTCCCCATAGGTGATCCCATGATGGGGCAGGGTGGCCTTTTTTGCTGGGGTACATACAAAACAAGAAAGGTCCGATTCTGTTCTGAGAACACCAGCTACAGAAGGTGGCACCCTGAAAGGCAGCCAAGACTCATGAATGGAGTCGTGGTACATGCCCTTCCAATGTTTCCACCATAGCTGGAAGACAGGATGAGGCCAGGGATGTTAGGTGCAATTCCAAGCAAGTCCTGGCAGTGGCAATACTTAAGCAGACTGGCATCAGCACACACAAATACCTGTAGTTTCAACTCAAACTCCAGGAAAAAAATTATTATATCTTTACAAACATTTAGCCTTAGCTGAGCTCAGCAAGGAGACATCCTTGTCTGCTCAGTGCTGAGATGCCGGGAAGAGAGGTGTATGATTCTGCTCGCTGTCTGTCACTACTCTGTGGAGTAGTGCAGAAATAGGTGCTCAGACTGAGCTAGACTAGAGGCAGCTGTAAAACAAACTTTTTCCATTGCTCTCTTAGTCTGTGGTTCTGCTCTGCCACTAGCCTGCAGCAGTGCTGTTGTTGAAAGCTGGCCAGCAAGTGTCTTCTCCATCTTAGTTCAGGCAACTCTAATTCCTTTTTGAAAGGCATGCAGAAGCTCAGCAGCACAGGCCTCTTCTGTGGTTCCAGAACCAGCGGCATCCAGGCAGCATCAACTCAAAAGCATCAAAAAAGACCCATCAAAAGCAAGCAGCCAGTGATCTAAGCAGCAGACCTCTATCCCCTGAAGACAAAGTAGAGATTCCCTGGGCAAAAGGGGAAAAGAAAGGTGCCACCAGGAAAGGTTTTGCTCATGAGAACTATAACTTCCCCAAAGGAAGCTAAAAAAAGAGAGAATAAAAACCCAGCCTGGGAAAAGGCAGGCAGTCTGATTATTTCATTCTGCTCCAGGCGCACAGCAGCATTCATCAGTGCATGTACCAATCAAAAGCCCTTGCAGTATTGGGGGGCAGCCCAAACTTCACACACACCTTGTACTGCCAAGCACTTGCCAAAGGTTGTGGCCCACAGCACACTTCAGTTGCATTTGCAAAGGGAAGGGTGGGCTGCTAGTAGCTGTCCCAGTACCAACCTCACTGGGCTGCAAAAGCAGAGCCCTTAGGACCTTGTAAAATTTTCATCTGCGCTCAGAGGTTTAGTGGGGAAAAGAGATAGACTAAGTCTTCCAATTGGTGGACCTTTGTTTTATCTTTCAAATCACAGGGTACCAGCCCAGGGCTCTGGGTCAGCCTTTCCTGTGGAATCCCACCTACCATGCTGTTACCCTGTTCTACTGTAACACTAGCCTAGGCATTGCCCTGCAGCATCTGCCACTGTCACCTAGCAGTCCTCACGACACAGCCACTGTGTATCAGAGCTGGAATCAGGACAGGTATTCCATTTCACACACTTCTGTCCTCAGAACCAAAGACCATTTTCATCAGAAGAACCACACTCTGGGTTGCATGTTATATCCCCCTCAGCAGGAAGCTGAGTTGGAGAGGATATGGCAACATTGACTGGACTGCACACACTAGTGTGAATTAAAAAAGAAGCCTCCTCCACACACAGGGAGGGTTAAAGAAGAGTACAGACAGCTCCAGAGATGTTAACAACTATAAAAATACTCCCATCCGAGAAGCTGTTAATGGTGAGCAGTTCCACACCTGCATGATCACTTTCTAAGCAGAAAATGGCTGGAACAGAGCAAGGGTTGGTAAATGAATACCCAGGTTCATGACCGCAGCAAGTCATAAGGCTAATTGGCTGGAATCAGTAATGAGTCTGCTATTGCATCAGCCCATCCAGGCCTTTCCACCTTCCACCTTTCATTACTTACTAACAAACACATTCGTCGGTCACAGCCTGATACTCATTTGTAGGCTGTGTTACTGCCTGCAACCTGTAATATTATCACGCGTTAGACCAAGCACAGCACCAAGTGTCAAGTCCTCAGAGAAGGGAAGCTACAGCAGTAACAAGGCTGGCACTAACTCACTCAGGATGCCAGGGATCACACAAAGGGAGGTCACAGACAAGGTCTGCCACACATGCCCAGAGCAGAGATCTATGCAGGAGGGGGAAAAAAAAATTAAAGCAACATATCTATCTCTAGTCTTCTTCCTTGGAGCTATTCAAAAGCTATCTGGACATAGTCCTGGGAGATCGGCTTTGGGTGGCCCTGCTTGAGCACGAGAATTGGACCAGATGGACCCCAGAGGTCCAACTCCAACCTCAACATTCTGTGATTCTGTGATCTCTGCCTTTTGAGCACAGTGCTCTGGATAGCACTTGGAAAACACCAGAATCCTGGTGCTTTCCAATCATGCTGTCAAGATAGGCTCCAATGGCGCTGACATTTTGTAGGGACCATGGTGAGCCTCCAGTCTTCACCTCAGCTCACGGGTAAGGTACTCCAGTGAGGGAAGTCACCAGAAACATGGGCTAGACAGGGCTAAGCTTGGAACAAAGCAGGAGACAGGTGATGCTTCCTCATCACTTGACAGTCAGCTTCATGAGCCAGCCCAACCCAGTCTCAGTACCTACAGCCTCTTCCAAACATGACCATCAAGGGAAGTTTGGAAAAGTACTTCAGGTAGTATTTGGGTGTCAGACAGCACTGGGCTTGAGGCTACACAAACCAGGCCCAGCCTTGGAAGAGCTGCCCAGCTCCGCCCTCAGAGACCTCTGCTGTCCTCCCAGTAAGATAACAGTAATCCAGCATGCATAACTAAGAACAGCCACTCGCTTGTTAAGAGAGCGCATAATCTTTGATACTCTTTCATTCTCAGCACTGACAGCCCGCAGGAGCATGGCAGGTCTGAGTATCTTTATTTCACGGTTATCAATGGCTAGAAGGATGAGTTACATACTGCAGCATCCATAGTCAGGCAGCAAATTGTAGTAACAAAGTGGTACTCACTTTGGGTTTAGTGACAGGATGTGAGACTGCACAGCTATGCTCAAGGTACCGAGGCAGCTCCAAAGGCTGGCAGTGAAAACAAGATACTAAACCTGAAAAAAACCAATTGGCCCCACTAGGGCTTAGGGAAAAAGAAGTTAAATTATCACACTGATGCCAGGGTACAAAAAAAAAAAAAAAAAAAAAGTTCAAACAGCAGCAAGCAAGAATGATCCCAAAGGGGAATCAATAACATGGACATGGACTATGAACAGATAGGAGAGGAAGAAGCTCAGGGCTGGTCATAACCCCAGCTGGACCAGATCACAGCAACATATTTCACTACATGGAGCAGCACGGCCTACACTTTTTGTGGTGTGTTAAGTTAGTCTGTCTTCATCCCTTCCCAGCCAGCTCACAGTCCAGCAGTTAGTTACAGCACTGTGTGCAAATACAGTTAGAGAGAGTGGTCCACAACTCCCCATCCCTTGTAATGGATTACTGTAATTCATCACAGGCTCAGAAAGTGTAAACCACACAACCCACATGAGAACAAAGACAGGTGGAAGCTCTGGAGCACCACATGGTAGTGAACCAGAGCACTCCTCAGGCTGACCTGGACTCAGCTGGCATGTTGCAAACAAACAGGGAGACACTGGAAGTACTGTAAGGGTTTGGACACTCCACAAAGAATTAATATGGCCTGTAGTTCCAGTAACTGGAGAAAACAGAGATCTGGAAAGCAAGAAGAAAAGTAGCTAAGTTCCTGTATATCTTGGCCCATAGAAGAAAGAGCATATAATGCGTGCATGAAGACTGAGCTTTATAGCATTACATGCTCCAGCACTGCTCTGCAGAAGGGCAGATTTGCTGCTATTGTCACTGAAGAGGCTTGGAGCACAAAGTTACTTGCTCAAGGTGGCAGCCAGGTCAGCTGCACAGCTGGAACTGAACACTGGAATCTAGTTTGATGAGGTCTTCATGCCTCCTTCTCCAGCACCTTGGCATTTTGTCACATCCAGCTCATGACTGAGAACACAAAAGTGTCTACCTGCTCTTCTCCATCTAGCTGCTAGTTCAGCAAAGACATCTGCCACACTACTACACTTATCCCAGATGGCTGTCTGCTAGGCAGTGCCAGCCAGCTCCCTGGCTCCAGAGCATTGATTCGTCGCTTGTTTTCAGTTTATATGTAAGTTGTACAGAATAACATCACATCAGATTTTTAGGAGATCTGAGGTCCTCTCAAAATCCAGAGTTAAAAACAAAGCCCCTTCTCTGAGGCCATTACCTTGTCCTTCAGCTGCTGGCAAAGCTGCAGTGAAACTGTGAAGAAGACAAGGGCATCATTTAACCATGGTACAACACATTCCACTTTATGGACATGGCTGACTTCATACCGCTGGTTGCCAAACTCACTGGAGTAGGGGAAAAAAAAGAGCACAGCTTCACACAAAACAGCACAGAACACAAAACTCAGCTGTCCTCCATTCTCACAGAAGAGATCACTATGATTTCTACTACATTTAAAACAGCACCTGGTAAAGTTATAGAATGCAGACTCTCAGTCTACCTCTGATCAGATTTAGAGTTAAGCTAAATCTAATAGAGTTAAGGTAGAAACTTTACCACTTTCCAGAGAGGCACAAAGGCAGGAAATGCAGGTGGCAATGCCAATAACCTAATGTTCATTTTGGTTGACAACTCTCATCTCTAGACAAACTGTATGGGTGGGCCGTATCCTGAAAAGTCACATCTTTGGGCCTTTATGACCCAATCATTAAAGAAACACTATTATGGGCACCTGTGCATTCACAGGCACAGCCACAGAAAGTGACAGTCCAGCTTCTCCACTTAATAGATTCTACAATCAAAGCTGTGTACAGCTATTTGGATCTCATCCTCATCATACTCCTACACCTGTTATACAGCCCTTGCAGTGACTGTACTTACAACATGGCTCCAGGGTTGTGTAAAATGGACCCTCCAGCAGACTTGAAGTTCTAGAGGAGAAGGAAAAGGTCATTAGGATTTTGACACAGTAAACAAACTACTTAGAAGGAGGATGTTTAAGGTTTGCACTTTCAGTAGCCTGACATCAAGAAATGCCTATATTCTAACTGCCTGAATACTCCATTCATATAGAATCAATGTCATTTGATCCCTTCCTGCTCCTTCATGAAAAAAATTCCACATAGGGGCTGAGGACAACTTAGCCCTAAATTTTAGCACCACAAAAATAAGATGAGAAGATCCAGAAGAAAAAGATAGATTTTAGGAAAAATATCCTTATAGAAGGACTGCATTTCATAAAACTTAAGAGTTTAATTCTTTTTTTACAGGACATCAAGCTGACCCAAATGCAACAGGTGAAGCAGAAAAGTATCCCTCAAAATTCCATTCAGAAAACCCAAGATGCTACCTTCGATGTAAACTGGATTAATACAATTATGTCCTTCCAAAATTACGCAAAATTATCAAACTATATTGTAAGATAAAGCATTACTTGGCAAAAAATAGTCACCGGCTTTCTCCAGAGTACTGGTATTTTCTTCTGGGCTAAGTGTCCATGACCCAAACTAAATTTAGAGCCAGTGCTCTGTCTGCAGCAGATCTAAACACAGACACTTAACACCAGGTGCAATCATTTCTGCATTATCTTATCCGTATAACATTGCACCATGTAGCAGTGCAATCTCCTCCTCACAGTGGGACACAGGGAGAGGTAAATAAACAAGGCTCAAGAGATAGTAGGTGTCACCTTGGTTGTGCTGGGCTGCAGCACATGGAGTTGGTAGACAGTCAGGCACAGCTTGTTCAGGTTAATATAGAAATTCACAAGGATGTCTGGAGGCAGAGCAGGGGTGAACATTTTCTGGTGAGAAAATAGTTTCTTTGTCAGTGAAAGGACCATTATTTCTAATGCAGGGAAATCACTACCTTTTTCTAAGCCACACTACAGTTACCTCATAGTGAGAGGGACATTAGAAAAGAAACAAGGACTGAGCAGCTTGCAGGCAATGGTTGTTCCTCTTGTTGCACTTGATCAAATGGTGTGTGCATGATGGTGACAAAAGAGGATGGAGCAGTGTTCACAAGGGCAAATCACCCCTGGTCAAGATTCCCAGGCAGAGAATAGAACTTACTCTCTGAGAACCAGAGTCCTCATGCCCAAGTCATCTGCTTTCCCACAGGAAGATACAGAGCAGCCAAAAATGCTCAGGGTTTGCACCTACTTTAGCTCTCTCTTTCTACCTCAGGAGACACTTCAAAAATCCACTTCCACCAGGATGCAGCACAATATCCTAACTGTTGCATGCTGCCAGACTGTATGGAGATCTAGACCACCACATACTTACTGTGAGACCACTGGAGGCAATCTCTGGTAGAGTCAGAGTGGCTGGAGTGGTAAGCCGATTTCGGGCTCTTGAGAGCTGTAACATCACAGCATCCATAAGCTACAAGGTAACATAAAGTACACTGCTGAGTGGCGATCCTTGGACAGTTCTGGATAGCGTGCTGCAGAATCCTACAGCCGTTTGCAGGTGTTACCACAACAACAACAATCACCACCACCACCACCTCCTCACCCTTCCAGGAATTCAGGAACTTATTGGGAACAGGTGGCTCACACATAAATGCAGTTTAACAGCTACCACCACCATAGCACTTGTAAGACAGGCCAGGAGTGTTTAATACCAGGGACTGAAGAGAGAACAGCTATTCATTAGAAGAATAAGAAGAGAACATGAGATCAGTTACTGATGCCACAGAAGTATCGACAAACTCATCAGCTCTTCGGAATAGCGGGCATTAAGGAAAAACAACAAGCTGTGTTCTAGTTCTCCCCATTCACATATCACTGGTACAACAGCTATGGAATGGGCCCCCCACTTCATAACCAGCTATGAGCTAGGGCACTAGAGAAAAGAATCAGCTCATTGTGAGTCCAGTCCTGCCAGAAACCACAAAGGCTCTATTCAGGCAGACTTCCTTTTTCAGAAAAAAAGCAGGAAGCAACATATGTCTGTTATAGAGCTCACAACTGCTAAGATGAAGGCATTTTATATTATGGCTGATTTATCCCCCCTACTTCCACCCAAAAGTAAAAAGGAAATACTTTTATCAACTAGCTTCTTCCCATTAGCAGCCCTTGCCCATGTGGAGACTAAAAAGGTTTAGCTTCCTCATGTTTGATACTGTGATGGATTCTAATGAGTAAGTCAAAATTCTGGTAGCTTCAGAGAACATTTCCAAGCAGAGGGCTGGGCTTTATTGCCACACGGCACCTGATCTGTATCAGACCGCATCAACTACTACTAGCAAGTGAGAAGGCACTTTGTCATCATTAGTAAATCACAAGTACTAACTGAAATATTTTATTTTCTAATAACTGCCTCATTTCTTCTCTCACCAAAAGCACTGACTGACAGGGAAGAACATGAGCTGTGTAACCAAATCATATAAAAAAGATCAAGGGAGATGCTCCCAGAATATCACTGCTGCACAACAGGGCACCGAGTGCTCAGATTACCATTCACCGTGATGTACAACCCTGCTACTGATGCTAAACTGGTATAGATTCATATCAGATATGAGGTCACATGGATACTCCTTGACACAGGTACATATGGGTACAACTGGGAATCCGTTTCCAGCAAGAGACTCAAGACATTAATGTGCATTAACTGTGTTTAAAAAAACAAATGGAGGGAAGAAAAATGCATGTTCCTACCCAAGTAGAGAGGGCTTTCTCCTCACCTTCAGAACCTCCAAGCCTGTTTTGAACTGGTAGTTTACATCTCTGTTTGTAAGCAGGTAAATGGCTTGGTTAACATGGTTTCTAGCATCCTGGATCTGCAAAGTTACAAATACAGCCCTATTAAAGAAACACTCTCTATAACACACACTAGGAAGTAGAGGTTTTCCTGATTATCTCGTTGGCCCTAAGAAAATGGTGACTTCTGAAATGTCAAGGCCATTTGTCTCTGAGTACCAGACACTCGCTAACACAATCATCCACTGCTGCCTAGACGCATTATTGGGTTCTTCACTCAAGGACTGTAGATGCAAAACAGTCTGATAGCTACAACCTGGACTACCAATAAATCCAGGTTGGCATTAACATCTCACGTAGACCATTTTCTAGATTTCTACAAAGTTACCAGGTAGAGCTTCCACTCCGCTGCCAAAGCAGCCATTTGAAACAGTACTCAATATCAAATGCACTGATCACCCAGAAAAATCTGAGCCATGGCACAGTGAAGCACATGGAATACATCTTTCTCCAACCTACTCAGCTATGACAAAGTAACTGTGGGAAACTATGCCCTCAAAATCAGGCACCAGATCAGGTCCTGAAATCAGGTATCTCCCAGTAAAATGGTGGGAAAGTGATTCAATGTTCTAGATGGCCTCACACCTTTAACTCCTTAACTGAGGGAACTCAGCTATGCTACAAGAGCACAATGAAGTGAGATTTGTTCTCGGCATAAAGAAATGCTTCCATAAGAGAATGAGAGCTAACCGCTCAAAGCCTCTGAAGTTGCTCTTTGCCCTGCTAGCTTGAGTTTTATAAGCAGACACAAGGCCAGTACTGCTCAGGCACCTTAGGCGCTCCTTTTAAAAGATGATGACTGCTATGCAGACAGCCTTCAGCTCATTGGTCTTTCTCTCCTAGAACTATAACTGAATTTAATTGCCTCTGTTCCCCCTCTTTGTTTTTACCACTGGAGCTATTGAGGGATGGACATGACCTTCTCTCTCGGAAAGCGAGGGGCTACAGCTACTGCTTGGAGGGTGCAGACGCTACAGAGGGGTAGGTATCTAAAGTTAACAGTACCTGCTGCAATTTCCACTGCTTGTCTTCCCGAAATGCAAAGTGGAGGAGCTGATTATTTCTGGGCATTTTCAGATTAACATCCTTGAAGAAAGAAACAAACCCATGAGAGCAAGCAATACCAATATGCAGAATGTGGAGACTGCCAGTCCACTCCACTATGTCTCCCAGACCATCTTGGCAAGCTGCTTTCAGCTGATCTGGCATGGCCAGAACCTCAGTCCTCCTACAGGAAGTTGCTAATACAAAGGTCAAGTTGAAAGGCATTCAGTGAATTGGCATCCAGGCAGGACACACGACCTCATCTCAGAAGCCCCCCAAAGAAATTTGATATTACACCACAAAGGCAGTAAAGGCAAGGAATACCCATGAAAGTCGACTCCACCACTCACCACAGAGTGTGTGTGTGGCAGGGTTAGAAGCTGGATCTTGACAAATTTCAACAGTTGCTGAAATGTTAGGGATTTAAGGCCTATTGGGGAAAACTGACAAAGAATACTTATTAATCATTGGTAAAGCATAATAAGGATGATGTCTCCCTTGAGGTCATCAAAGTGTAATAAGGATGACCTCCCCTTGATGGTAGTACAAAGCAAGAAGCACAGCAAGTACTCACAGCTTGGCACAGGGCGTCTCCTTGCAGCGTCAACACACCTTTCACCTGGTCTGTGCTGGAATGAGAAGAAAGATCTGGACAACACAAACCACAGGAGGCAAGAGACACCTACCAAAATTGCCAACCTGACACCATCCCTTCCTGTCCCATGGAGGTAGCCAAGTTCCCCTCCTTCCAGGGGTCAGCTGGGGGATGCAAGATGAACTCTATACACATTCAAGTCCCCAGCTCTGGGCCTGCAGCCAGCTGCTGCAGTCATAAAAGTCATAAGGTCATATTCTTTATGACCCCACCCCTCCAACAAGAAAAAATCCCTAAATAAACAAAAAACCCCACACCCCAAACCCTTTACAAGGTCCTGCAAGATGGCTTACATCTACAATGAACCATGGGGGAAGACTGAAGTAGCTGGGCCTTCAAGAACTCAGTTTAGCCATACCGTACATTTTAATACACCAGACATTTAGAGACTCTTTAGATCAACACTTTTTAAGACCCACCTTGCAACAATAATGAATGAAAACTAGAATCAACTTTAATACTTCAAGATCTGAAGAATGCAACCTTCAAACCCAATACAGAATCATTACACCATTCTATAAAATGTTCACCATGCTGCTTCTAAGGACTAAGGTCTCCTACTTCACAAGCTTGTGACCGCTACCAGAGTGTAGCTATTCAAGACCGAGGCCTATGCTGAAGATCAAAAAATGGACAGCTATTTCAGAAGAACTGCACTTCTATAGCACCTTCTGCACAGGTCTCAGTTTGCTCTGTGCAAAGTAGATTCATTATTGTTATTTTAGGGAGATTAGGACAAAGGTTAAGATTTGTCCACAGTCAGAGTCAGAAACTGAGCCAAGGGCAGAATTCAGGTCTTGTAACTGCAACTCTCTGCACCTAGAATCAGAAAAATGCCCCTTGGCAAAACTGCTGACAGTAGCACACTGATGCAACACATCAGCGTGTGGTCAATGACCATATGACAGGTGTCAGTAGGAAATGGCACAAGTCTGGCTAAGGCAGCCCCGGGAACATGGCTACGGAGTGTTAATGTTAACCTGCCATGAGAATTTGTTCATTTGTTTTCCTTAAGGCGAAATCTCATATTAAAGACAACGCCTTTACTCTGGGGGTGCTGTAGAGTCCTTTGCCGCAGGTGCTCAAGGAACAGTGCGCTTCGCTACAAAGGGAAACCCCCGGCACACACCGGGCCGCTGCCCCGCAGCGGCCTGGCAGAGCAGCAGCGACCCACTGACCGCCACGGCCACTTACCCCGATGTGCTCAGCACAAAGTTCTCCTGCTTGACGGCTCCTCCCGAGCCACTGGCGGGCAGGGCGAACCGGTGAGAGGCCTCCTGCTCAAGAAAGGACATAGCAAGTGCTGGAGCATCCACCTGGGCCTGGCGCACCACAAGCCAGTAACAAAGAAAAGGCAAGAGCAGAAACACAGACACTGGCAAGTGGCCAAATGCAGAGCCTTTGCAAGCCTCCTGCAACCCACCTAGCAAAGCACACAGATGTTCCCTTGTCCTCCTGCAGGACAGGCACAGCCCAGGAGAAGGCTTAGTGCGTGCAGCTTGTGGCAAAAGGCATTGGAAATCTCGTGCTCTGGCTCCACACTCCAGAGCCAGGCGAGGCAGCCAGTGCCCTGAGGGCCACCAAGCTGTCCGCCGCAGGAGTGGCACTCCACAAAGCCTGGCTCTGCATGCCCTTGGGCGCCATGGCACTGCGCATCTCTCCGCGTGCTCCCTGCCCTGGCTGCACAGCACAAGCACTGCCTGTGGGAACTCTGGAGCAAAGACCAGCCCTCTCGTCTGGTTATACTGGCTGGTGACTGCCCTTTAATCACACTTCACCCTTAAAACTATTACAAATTCTTCAAAACAGATACTATATATACAGATAGTGCAGGTCATTGTCACCTGCTACTGAGTCACGTCCCAGCTCAGCATTACGGCAGTCCTACCTCCTCTGGCACCTGCCCCTCACCTCCACATTTTTGCCTCTGCTCTTGCATCACCCACTAACCTCCACCAAAACTTCAGAGCACTAAGGGGCTGGGCCTGTTGAAAACTAACCTAGCAGGAGAGCAGTGAACTCTCGTGCACACAATCCCCTTTGGCCACTTTACCACCTGGCTGCCTGGAAAGAGCCAAACCTGGCAGCCCACGCTCAGGCTGGTGAAGGTGCCGCAGGCCTGGTTCAGCTGAACACTTCAAGCCTCTGGCAGGTACCAGCAGAGAAGTGGGTATATTGAGGGAAGGATAGTTTTGAATGAGAAGAGTGCATGCTGCTAATTATTGCACCAGTACTAGCTTGTCAGCTAGAGGCTATTGTGCTCGTTTCCACCATCACATGAGAGACTTATGGGCAGATCCAGATTCTCTGTTTCAGAAAATATTCACATCTCGGACAAACACTTAGCAGACAGGTCTGGGTGCCTCCATGTGCCTTTTCAAAGCAGGCCTCAGGAAAGAGGATCAAGAACAGAGCAATCTAGGGGAAATTAGCTTTATTGTGAGTCCTCAAGACCAGAGGGTAAGCAAACACTTGAGACAGCACTGGACATGCGTGATGGACATTTCGTGATGGACATGATGCATGCACACTCTACAAGAATTTTTTACTCCAGGGGAAATCTACCACCATTACTCACATGGGAGAGCAAACACACACACACACACAAAAAAAATGAAGGAAATTTACCTTACCTTCAAAATATCCTGCAGCTGTTTCAAAACGGCATGGACTTCTTCTTGTAAAATCCATTTAAATTCTTCTTCCTGCATTGTAGAAAGATAGCACTGGACTCATTAGAAGTCAAACAACAGAAATAAATCTCTCAGACACACATGAAAATTATTTAAGTTCCAAGTATACTGCTATGCCCATGCTGTTTACATCACATGCTAGTAGGAGAAGAAAAAGATTTCTTCCTCATTTGTTGAAAGGCCTGAACTCCCCACATCTCCACCCCAGTGAAATGAACTGTCCTCATGCTTATTTTGACTTTGTTCAATAAAGCAGCATTCCTACAAACCACTGTACCATTAATCATAGAATTAGGAAAGAACAGGCAGTACGGGTTGTGAATTTCAGAGCACAGTACAGATCCTGCTGCTCTGAAATCTGGGGCATCTTTTTAAGCTGCCGGAGTGGGCTGACCTTGGCTGGCCAGCTGCCAGACACCCACCCAGCCTCTCCCGCTCTGCCTCCTCAACAGGATAGGAGTAAGAAATAAAATTAAAAGCTCACAGGTTGAGATAAAGGCAGAGAGACCCCTTACCAATTACCGTCATGCGCAAAACAGACTCAACTTGCAGGCAAATTTGTTGCCCATTAGATGGTAAGAAACAAAGACAAAACCTAAATGTTCCCCCTCCTCCCCAGCAGCATTTTACCAAGCAAGAACAGCCTCAAAATAAAGCAAGTTAAACTGAAAAGTGGGTGGGGGGACAGAAAGGCTGAGGACTCCCAATCATTTGGGCAAATTCAGTAACAAAAAAGTTCAGATCTGATGACACGCTGCCTCCGGCCTCAATCTGCTACAGAAAAGCAGATCCTCAAACCACAGCCAAGCCTTCCTGCTAAACCACAAGGCCCCATGCAGAAGGTCATCAGAGAAGTGGGGACAGAAGCAAGGGACAAAGAAGGGATTGACACTTGCTACCTTGTAAGAGAGGAAAAATTTTCCACGTGGAAAGTAATAGAAAGGAATGAATTGTGCAGGTTGCCCGCAGAAAAATGGGAAAGATGTGGTCAACTCAAAAATTTAAGCCTGTGGTTTAGCTGCTAGACAGTTCCTGTTCACCATGAGAAACACAAAATACTGATGTGTCATCACCTTATGCAAGAATAATGTGAACAGAATAGGACAAGGACAGTTTTGTTTCAACAAATGTTCACCCAAAGCAGGTACACACAACAAAACTAGGTAGGATTCGCTGTTATCCTTCAAACCAGTGTGGGTGCAGGACTACTAACTTTCACCATTTAATCCTGTTTTGGGTTTCTGAGCATCATATTGACATACTGGATTCCTTGCTCTTTCATTCTCTGCAACACTCGCTCTCCTCCAGGCTCCTTGATGAAAAAATCAAGGTCACGTAACACACTTCACCGTTTACCACAAGCAGGCCTG